TAATCTGAAATTGATTTTACTTTTGTTGTCACTGGAAGACATCATTTAGGTATCAATGCCTGAACAAAGAAAAACTTGAAATCTCTTTAACAAGTTTGTTTTATTATCTGAACAATTCCTGGCAACATCTTGCCACGACTTGTCACCAGTCGACATCAGATATCCAGATAGCGTGTTGTGAGGTCACTTCATACAGAAATGTTTCTATTTTCAAGACAATTTATTATCAAATATTTGTTTGATATCAATCCTGATTCTCCAATTTCAAATCTCAGTTTCACTGATTATCTGTCTTTGAATAGCCAAGATCAAATTTTCATTAGATTTATTTAAAGAAACGCTGATGGTTTCCTGATACACACATGTTTTATAGTACAGACGATTCTAAATACAATTGTAGTTTTCAAATTTTAGAAGATTAGGGTTAACCATGTGAAAGGCACCTGTATGATACAGGAAATATATTGAGACCTTCGAAAGGTAGTGCCAGGTAAAAGCTTTATCTAAAAGCTTATTGATTTATTTATTAGAATTGAAGGATACTCAATAAAGTAGATAGAACGTTAGTGTTTGTGTAGAAATACATTGAATAAAGGATTGGCAAAGATCTCCGAAATATCGTATAATATCATATTAGATACCTCATTTTTAAATGTCATTGTTATTAGTGTTTATTACGATGTATGATATTTATGTAAGGTTTATATGGGTTGTAATCAGTTTCAATTTCCTCTCGTATCGTATCTGTACGCAGTAACCTGTAAAATGAGACCTTAAAAATGAAGGAAAATCTAGGATGGACACAATCTCGTGTGGCGGTGATATTAGCGTGTGTCAGGTTTTCACAATGACACCTCGAGTCAATCCTGTTGACACTTAATCAACAGAGAAAACAAAGTCCTCAAAATTATGATACCAATCTTTTTCTTTACACCACAATTTACATATGACACCACAGGCTTCAATTTTTAAATTCCTGAGGGAAGGTCCACACAGGGAAATACCCAATTACCATGTGGTGTCATTCATGTGGGTATAATTACATTAACAGTTGATGCCCTGAAGATTATTTTTACCTTCATGTAGATATTTTTTAATTTATTTTATGAAATATTCCTATCAGTGATTACTTCAAAGATAAACAAATTTTAACATCTAAGTGAGTTTAAATTGATTTTCTTGACACAATTTCAAGTCATGTTCCAATAGTTTGTCCCCTCTAACACATAGCATCACCTACTGGCCACCATGACAAGCTGTCTGACAACTTTTATCAAGATATCAATGTGAAATTAATTTACTCTGATACAACTTGGCTTGTCTATCAGGATTTATGAGATAATTTAGATGCAATATGTGTGTTAATCATGTATCACCTGGAGGCATGATAACCCTGTATCTCCCTCCCATATAGACTTATCATACAGGGGGGCACCACACATTAGGATACAAACTGTCTCCTGTCTTCTCACCCATCACACAGAGGTGGACACCACACATTAGGCTATGCGCTGTCTCCTGTCCTATCACCCATCACATAGAGGGGGACACCACATATTAGGATACAAACTGTCTCCTGTCCTATCACCCATCACATAGAGGGGGACACCACACATTAGGATACAAACTGTCTCCTGTCCTATCACCCATCACACAGAGGGGGACACCACACATTAGGATACAAACTGTCTCCTGTCCTATCACCTATCACATAGAGGGGGACACCACACGTTAGGATACAAAATGTGTCCTGTCCTATCTCCCATCACACAGAGGGGGACACCACACATTAGGATACACAATGTGTCCTGTCCTATCACCCATCACATAGAGGGGGACACCACACATTAGGATACAAACTGTCTCCTGTCTTCTCACCCATCACACAGAGGTGGACACCACACATTAGGCTATGCGCTGTCTCCTGTCCTATCACCCATCACATAGAGGGGGACACCACATATTATGATACACAATGTGTCCTGTCCTATCACCCATCACATAGACGGGGACACCACACATTTGGATACACAATGTGTCCTGTCCTATCACCCATCACATAGAGGGGGACACCACATATTTGGATACACAATGTCTCCTGTCCTATCACCCATCACATAGAGGAGGTGGCACTACATAGTGTTATACAGTGTCCTCTCCCCTAATACTTACATTAAATATCCAACACTCCTTACCCTTACAAGGTCTCGTTTTGTCTTTTTTTAGGTCATCTGACCCTAGATGTCTTGTGCAGTACACTAGGGCATAAACTTGTACTTTAAAAATGCTTCAACCAAATTTGTCCTGAAACATCAGACAGGGAACACAATCATAATTTTATAAATAAAGTTGAATTGACCCCAGCTATGAGACTTTGAGCAAAACACATGTGGGGTAATTCCTAAATTTTTATCTAAAATGCTATTCTCTTTTACACATGAGTGGATTTTAACCAAATTAGAAAAAAATACTGGGGAAAGGTAATCTTTATTCATATAACTAAATGTATCATTGTCCCTAGTGGCCAAGGGATAAGGCCCTTGAGGGGAAATTTGGTCATTTGATTTTAAAATATCATCCTCTGATATACCTGTTGGGAAAGCAATCATTTTCCAAAAATTGTTCACATTTGGGCCTCTTATCTAGTCTAAATTACTTCATTTTAAAGAAAATAGAATGGAGAAAAAGACGCTTTATATTTCAAATGTTTCAATCAACACACATGGAGAGTTACCATTGTACTTTTGCTCATTTAGAGTCTGTGCAGTAGTCACATGTCCCATGGAGTGGCATGGAGATGTAGCTAGTGATTATAACCACTCAGATAGAGCAGACACTTACTGGATAGGTCTAATTACCTGATAATAGCACCCAGATCTTTCCTACTTTCCCACCCTTGTACAAACTCTGTATTAAAGAAAACACATTGTTTATCATGTAACATAAATTCTTATCTATGTATATAAGTATATCACTACCCATTTAACTGATGATCTCCGTGATTACAGTTTTTGCCAACATTTTATGATTGTTTGAGTAAAATATCATTAGATAAAGACAGGTGGATGCCCTTGATCACCACTTCTTACTGAATTGTACAAAAAGTATACTCAGCTGAGAAAAAACTCCCCTTTGAGGTTTTAACAGAGGAGAAATTTCTTTTATTGGGGATAATTAATTTGATATTCGTAAGAAGAAAATGATATGCCTTCATTCTTTTGAAACAGTGCAGTTAAAAGAATTACTTAATTGTCAATTAGTTTAATCCTTCTTTTGACCATTTAATACATTATAGAAACTAGAAAATGGCATGTAGTTTAGGTAGGATAGTATCAGTGAGCTCAGTAAATCTGATCATGGTGCAAGAAATGTTTTACTTGGTGCTAGAACAGATTGGGATATCAAAGAGCTGATCAATTTGTGAATTGAATTTGAATCTTGTATCAAGATGTAAGAGATATTTTTTACCTTACTGTATAACTGATCACTGTATGAGAGATGTTTGATTTGCAAATCTTTGATCATGGTGTGATGGATGTTTAATTTATAAATCTCTGATCATGGTGTGATGGATGTTTAATTTATAAATCTCTGATCATGGTGTGATGGATGTTTAATTTACAAATCTCTGATCATGGTTCGATGAATGTTTAATTTACAAATCTTTGATCATGGTGTGATGGATGTTTAATTTATAAATCTGTGATCATGGTGTGATCCTTGTTTAATTCATAAATCTCTGATCATGGTCCGATGAATGTTTAATTTACAAATCTCTGATCATAGTGTGAAGAATGTTTAATTTACAGAATTGTGCATAAAATGTTTGATCATTGTGTGACAGTGGACAGAACTCTTATTATTTTCAATGCTATCTACAATTTAATCTGCATAAAAATATTTCATACATAAGAGATGTCGTTAGATTCCACAATGTTTTCAAATATTGATGCATTCATTAGAATAGAATTAATTATACTTGGTAGTTTCCCACACATGGGTTGTGGGCAAAATTATTGTAAAATAATACAAAGGTTACATAACACAACAGGCAGTAGGTATTTAGGGTTTGGTAAGCCCCTGGCCTATTTTTGTATATAATCACTGTTTTGTGATATCAGTTGATATATGACACAAGTATGTATATTAAAAATCACTAATTGTTTTGAATTTGTATAGGTGTTGAAATCAATGTTTAAAGTATCTAAACCCAGTTGTCCCCCTGGTGTTAATTAAGGGGTTATTAGATACTGATATCAGAACTAAGGTCCAGACACAGTGTTGGCTAACAGACATCAAGATAGGACCATTCTTTTGATACTAATCAGCTCATCTCAGTATATAATCTACTGTAATTAATTAGTGCCTGATAAGTAAGAATACCTGCCTGTACACAGGGCTAATTAAATGTTCTGGTATAGGTGTGTATTGAGGATGGTCACTGTGTGGTGAATAAGGCTGTGTTATACTGCCCAGACAAAGATTAGAACAGAAATAGTAATACTCTATTGTAACCTTTCATTTCTGAGATAAAAATTCAGAGATAAGGATTATGAAATCTGTCAAATATTATCACTGTAATTTTCGATAGAATTACTGAAGGATTCCAACCAGATATTGTATCTAGTGATGGAACAGGTGATAGAAAAAAAGTCGGGTTAATAAGGGGACCGAATTCTACAACCTATTGACCAGGTATGGTCAGTTCAGTGACACTACCATACACAAAGTGATGCTTCATTGATATTTGGTGGGAAAAACTACAACATTTGATATTAAACTTTTATCATATACACTAACTGACAGCCTTGCTGATGTTTATTAACTGCTATGTACTTACATATTGAATTCTGGTGTTACGTCATTTATGATTGCTATAAATGACAGATCTTTGGAAGCGACACTGACGACTCCAGATTTTATATTATTGTTTTTTCCCTGTCACATAGATATTTGATATGTATGTGATATGTTACTTACCATTTTATTATTGTATACAGGTGACCTGACCTTTCCGTTCTGGACAGTTTTGGTCAACTTGCTCCAAGAGGATGATGGTCAAGTGAAAGAAATGATTACTGAGGCATTGTCCAAACTTTGTGAGGACACAGGTAAGTTTAATTGAATAATGTTACTCATGATGTACCCTCCCCCTTTCCCAAATACACCACCACCATACCCTCTTCAGCACCCACCTTGCCCCTCCCCCAAACACACCACCATCACACCCTCCCCACCCCTACCCCGCCCCTCACTCCACCACTACACCCACTCCATCCCTACCCCGCCCCTCACCTCAACACAGCACCACCACTACACCCCTCCAGCCCCAACCCCACCCCTCTTCCCATGAACTACATTCAATACTGCTGACATGGAATGTTTTCTCAACAGGTTTGTACTTTTAAAAATAAATTCTTCCTGTATGAGAATCTGTGATGCTGCAGGAATCCAGTCTTGTTCATTATTTACATGTGTGTAATCTGCAGTTTTGGGACTCCTACTGAACAGGATACTTAGAAGTATAAAAACTGTTGACATTACAATGTTATCAACTCCCATAACAGTTAACAATAAATCAAAAAGTAGACAGTACATCAACAGTACACCAGAAAGTAGACAGTACACCAGACAGTACACTAGAAAGTAGACAGTAGAAAGTACACCAGAAAGTAGACAGTGCACCAGAAAGTAGACAGTACACCAGAAAGTAGACAGTACACCAGAAAGTAGACAGTAGACAGTACACCAGAAAGTAGACAGTACACCAGAAAGTAGACGTACACCAGAAAGTAGACAGTACACCAGAAAGTAGACAGTACACCAGAAAGTAGACAGTAGACAGTACACCAGAAAGTAGACAGTACACCAGAAAGAGACAGTAGACAGTACACCAGAAAGTAGACGTACACCAGAAAGTAGACAGTAGACAGTACACCAGAAAGTAGACAGTACACCAGAAAGTAGAAAATTCCTCAAAAAGTACACAATTTTAAAGACACTTTTCTAACAGTTGTTTATGAATTTCATATTTATTTAATCTGTTACATATTTTTCTCTAACATGTTTTGAGTACTCACTTTAAAGTTTACCAGATGTTTCTGGTTAGATTTTGTCAGTGTTAGATCAGTGACATTTTAGTAACCTATACTGACCAGTTAACATAACTTTTACAGGTACAGTACAGCCTTTTCTGTCGCTGGACCTGCTGATTGGTCAGTTGGTCAATTGCCACGGCACTACAACCAGATGGAAAGGATGCTTGTCTACTCTCCTCAACTGGATAAAGGGGGATGATGGTGATGATAGTGTAAGTAATACAGTACTTTAAATATTGGGCTGGTGCAAGTCTTTGAAATATACCAGAAATAAGAGAAAATTTTCAAAATATCCTACAACGGCTAAAAATCTGATAGTCTGACTAGTTCGAAGGATTATTCAGACAAGGTGAAGTTGAGAACCCTTGAATTTTAAAGTAATCAATTTTGTATGATATATGCCAACAAACTGCAGTGAGATAAATTTTTAATATATTTGATTATTTGTAAAATCTTATGTTTTAAATACAATGACACTAAAAAATTTACATCCTTGATACCCAAAGGAAACTTGATGTTTAAAACTGGGATTCTGAGGAATTATATGTTACATGTTTATATTGTTGTGGTTATTGGAAATTTACACAAACTTTGAATTTGTTGAGTTATTGATAACTGACTGTAAAATAAAAATCATTAATGTTCTTCAGATTGTCGAGGAAAGACTGTTTGACAAGGGTGAGATGAATACCTACCGTGAGGATGTAATATTTGTTCTGCTAATCATCAAACATCTTACCACACTTCTTCTTCAACTGACCAGAGGTCAAGATTTAATAAAGTCTTCTATCACAGATCAGTCAGGAAGCTTGACACTAAAGGAAGGTAACTCTGATCATAAAAATATCACAAAACTTGATAATGTTATGAGATATTGTGAAAGACATTTTCCCTCACAGGAAGTGATCAAACACTTTGTGAAGTTAAGAGATATTGAAACTGCTACATTTAGTTTTTCAGAAATTGAAATAATATTCAAGGAAATTTTAGGCAACTTACATAAATCCATTGAAGCACAGGAAGTGGTATCTATATCATCACCATTCTTGGAAGTGTCACGGTACAGGACAGTGTTTCCAAACATCTACAGGACCCTGAAGTTGATGGAAGTGGTCAAATGTTTGAATGACACACTTTGTGACCAGTGTGATGTCATTGGTTCTTGTATTATCAGTAAACTAGGGGAGCAGATCCCAGTGGTAAACACCTTGGTGTCAAGTGCAATGATGTAAGAAGAGATAAATATTTAATGATTGTAGTGGATATAGTAAAATTCATCTTAGCTTGTTTAATAACTATTATGGTCATTAGTATGCTATTGTGAAGAAATAAAAATCTGGAAAAAAACATTAATATTTGTGATTTTTTTGTTATTCTGTGATGATTTCCCTGTCAGCTAAACATTTTTAAGTCTGTTGTCTCTTTAGACACATCTGTTAATTTTGCTGTCTCTCTAGACACATCTGTTAATCTTGCTGTCTCTCTAGATACATCTGTTAGTCCTGATGTCTCTCTAGACACACCTGTTAATCTTGCTGTCTCTCTAGACACATCTGTTAGTATTGCTGTCTCTCTAGACACATCTGTTAGTCCTGATGTCTCTCTAGACACAACTGTTAGTCTTGCTGTCTCTCTAGACACATCTGTTAGTCCTGATGTCTCTCTAGACACATCTGTTAATCTTGCTGTCTCTCTAGATACATCTGTTAGTCCTGATGTCTCTCTAGACACACCTATTAATCTTGCTGTTTCTCTAGACACATCTGTTAGTCTTGCTGTCTCTCTAGACACATATGTTAGTCCTGATGTCTCTCTAGACACAACTGTTAGTCTTGCTGTCTCTCTAGACACATCTGTTAGTCCTGATGTCTCTCTAGACACAGCTGTTAGTCCTGATGTCTACCTAAACAAAGTTAGTCTGAATGAAGCCAATAAGAAGAGAAATTTTGTTTCATTGGAAACTTTCCTGTCAAATACAGTGTATATCCATTACTTTTTACGGATTTGATTTTAAATAATCATAAGATTATAAAGAGATATTCTTACTGATATAAACAATATCTTTTGAAGTGACTTGAACATCTATATGACAGCCTGTCTGGAGCAATAAATCATGATGTTAAGTATTGTAAATTAGTTAATCATATCAACTTATGTAAGTTTTTTGTGCTGTTGATGATCGGAACAAATGCCTGATTAGTTAGATAATGAATCACACTGTGTATCCCCAGTATTACATACACTAGACAAGTCTTGTATCACAAATCCTCCCTATTACACGTGTCTACAATTAACAACCTATTACAACAGCTCTGTACCATCATTAAAACAATATTTAAACTAAATTCCATTAAGTTTGCAATGTAAATACTTGGATGTCTCCATTGTAAGCATTTTGACCACCCAGATTCTCTGTAAATGTTATAACGTTATTCTTGTGTGTGCCACTCTTCAGAATTGAATAATGAGAAGGAAATGTGTTTAATCATGTTTCATTATCGAATAAAGTACTTTATGATGAATAAAAATGTAGGCATTTATATGGATAGGATGACAGAAATATTTTAGGGGTCAAAGGTTAAGGACGTCCTGTCTTGCTGTCTAGTATGAGATGTAAGTGTTCACTGTCACCAGACAACTAGCTTACATGACCTCTTGGTCATGGAAGTCATATTTAAATTCAAAACAAGCTGGCTTTCTTTCTTTTTTTTTTTTTTTTTTATAGGTGTGCCAATTTTTTTCTATTTTGGTAAGAGATATACATATAGTGTATTATACAGGTAGACAACACATTACCTATCTGATAAACTAGCTCATAGCTCGTTAAGTTTCTATCTTTTATTTTACAACTGGGGATATCTATTTGTTCAGTAAAACTGGAAGATTTTCAATGTTCTAGAACACTTTGTTAATGTTGTAGTGATCTGTGGGATATGTGGTGTCTAAGTATTGTATTAAATAGGTTAAAATCTGAAGATGATGTTTATTGATTTGGGGTATTCTTGGCATTCTGCTGTTTTGATTTTATCAAAAAATAAAACCTGTTGAAAAGTAATTGATAATCAGTGTTAATTATCGATCTCAGGTAAGATTCTCAGGAATTCATTTCCCAAATCTCCAGTGGATAAATTAAAGTACTTGTGAGCTCTAAATGTTGGCTTGCACTGAGAAACTAGTACATGACTTCCAAATGATTTTTAACTCGCCCTAAAAATGTTATTTAATGATAAACTATCGACGGAAAAATAATTTTCTTTTTTTAAGAAAAAAAATCATCTGAAATCTTTATTTTGCAAAATATAGCCTATCAAAATAAATTGTCAGTGATTAGAATGCCCGAAACAGACCGGTTCTTGTGCGAGCAGATCACGGATAACGCATTCATCAGAAAATATCAGAGTTCTGACACATCACGGTAATACTAAGGTGACTTGGAAGCTGGAGTTTTAGTATTTCAAATTTAACATCTGATGATGACTTGATTTGAAACGAAAAACATAGGTATCTGATGGGGTCTTGGCCAAATTTCCAATATAATGAGTTCCGAGGCTTCGAAAAAATGTTGCTGAAACGTAAATTAAGAAGTCATCTTGTGTTGATATTGAAGCTTGAACAAAGACGTTTTGTTCCTGTTAAAAGGTTTCTTTCTCTGTTAATCAAGTGAGTATCTGAACTCTCAACGTAAATTCCTGGTTGATGAATTGGTAAACTAGCAGGGGATATTCTTTGCTTTAACTTTCTAAGATTTGAGATAAGACAAACAGCGTGGTGCCAAGCCAATATTACACAGGCAACTCTTTCATTCCAAAAACTTTCACCATACATCATCGAGCTACGGACCGTACAGCTTTCCTTGGCAACATGTCTTTGCTGTGTACCATACCTATAAGTTTGACTGTAGGTGTCCATGATAGGTTAACACGCTGTTTAGTGTATTTCTCTGCATTAAAGCTCGTTAAATTACGGCTTATCTAGACTAGTTGTGTGTAACATTAAACTGTGGAAGTGAAACCCATGTGTTCCACTCAGTACAGTCGGCACATCGACTGGTGCAGACCTGTTGCCAGAGACATCTGACAAATCGTCAGTGATTACTTAACAGTGTTGAAATACCAGTTTTGGTGTAAATTATCATACACTAATTACAAAAACAAAATCAACCAATCACCGTTGGCTTGTCAACATTTTTTAGCCAATTGTCAAATAAGATTTAGTCAATCTCTGATTTGCCAAACCTTTAGCCAATCATCATTACCTTGTGAAATAAGGTATGTTTCTACGACGACGCCCGACACTAAGATTTAAGAAATCCTTTTAACAAGACACATAAATTTGAGATATGTAAATCTCTGTTTTGACCAATATCGATGACCACACAAACTAGTCAACCATCGGTTAGTTTGTCAGGCCTTTATTTTTACCGGTCTAATTGGCTGGTCATGTATTGTCTTTCCGCGCTCTGTGTTATTTCATGGCGATGTCTGCAGCCTTAATAGATCGTTTTTTATCAATTACTGCTTGTCAATCTTTATCATACGGGCATTTCTTTAGACCACAATAACATCTCATATCTTTGTTGACCAATCAGAGCGAGCTTATCAGTCTCTGTCTCACGGAAATAGGTGTTGATTTGCAGGTAATTGTCAAGTCATGTTTGACCAATCACTGCGGCTTATTGAGGCCGCATTACATACAAATCCTAATGATATACATCTTTTAAGCTGATGCCACATCAATATATAACTTGTTTTTCAATGTCTGTTATGAAATATTTAAAACTCTGTTACATACCCCCATAGATGTTTCTATCTGTTTATACAGCTGGTCATCAGTAATCATCAGTAAAATTGTTTATCTATCCTTTAAAGTTGACCCAAAACAAATAAAATGCTCACGTTGTCTTAGAAACTCATATTTTTAATGATATACAAACCTACAAATGTGTTATGACGTTCTATCTGGAACACGCCGGTCCCTTGATACATTTCTGATAACTCCGTAACGCCACCTCTATAACTGTATCTGATGATTCGTGAAACCGAATGTTGATAGACCTATTTGTTTTAATCATCATAAACTCTAGAGCAGACTAGCGTATACGAGGTCTAATTAGTGAAGGATCAGGTAAAACAAGCGGAGAACGATATCATATTGTTGGTAGTATTGGGGTCATTGGGGACGTTACATCATTCTAACTAGTTATAAAATTCATTTTATACCTCTGTTGTGGAGCTGTTGATTATGACAAGGTCACCACCTCAGCTTTAGTACGATCACACAATATCCTATATCATATACACGCTTTTCACAGAAATGTGTATTGATATCATTAATCAGTCATCACTGTTTGTTCATAACATCACCGCACACTGACCTCTGCACTAAGCCACATGAATGACAGTTACCCAGTAAGAGAGTAAGAAAAGCGTTTTCGAATACCGGACGACAGAAAGACATTCGGACGGTAAGAGGGTGTACAAATACCGGACGACAGAAAGACATTCGGACGGTAAGAGGGTGTACACATACCGGACGACAGAAAGACATTCGGACGGTAAAAGGGTGTACACATACCGGACGACAGAAAGACATTAGGACGGTAAGAGGGTGTACGGATAGCGGACGACAGAAAGACATTAGGATGATAAGAGGGTGTACAATACTAGACCACAGAAAGACTTTAGGACGGTAAGAGGGTGTACGGATACCGGACCACAGAAAGGCATTAAGTCTTTAGGGCGGTAAGGGGGTAAACGAATATCGGACGACAGAAAGACATTAGGACGGTGAGGGGGTAAAGGAATAACGGACGACAGGAAGACACTAGGACGGTGAGGGGTAAACGAATATCGGACAACTGAAAGACATTAGGACGGTGAGGGGGTAAACGAATATCGGACGACAGAAAGACACTGAGACGGTGAGGGGTAAACGAATATCGGACGACAGAAAGACACTGAGACGGTGAGGGGTAAACGAAAACCGGATGAAAGAGAGACTTTAAGGCGGTCAGGGAGTGTACGAATACCAGATAACAGAAAGTCATTCGGTCGATAAACCGACAAAATTACGAAAAAAAAGACAAATTAGCCAGCGTACTGACCTAATTATACGGACTAACGAGGTTGGTACTTACAAGCAGAAGTATAAATAATGATACTCTTTTAGTGCTGACATGATAAGGCTAGAAAACCTGTGTACTTTAAGCGGACCCCCAAAGTGACGCCGCACTTTTACTCGTAGATGGGACATTATCATGACGACTGAGGTGTCAAGACTTCTCCATAGACACAAAACAGCATCTACCCAATACTTCAAATTCATATTTTCAGG